GCACTTCACAGACTATGCCATTTAAACTGTTTTACTTTTGGTTTATGCTGTATTATTTTATTACTTGTCTTATTTTTGTAATGTAGAATTTCGTCTTATCACCATTGTAGCCATACACACAGATGACCCATTATGCAGAATAAGACATGTTGAAATGATTCTGTCGAGTCAAAGTAGTCACAGAGGAGAGCCGGGGAAAGTGGCTTGTGTCCCTTGAGCTCAGAGTACTTACAGCGGAGTCAACACTGTAAAAGAAAGCCAAGAGAACGAGGGTAAAAATACAGAGCATCTGTAAATAAACCCTGTCGTTGAGAGTGCCTGCGTAAGCATTTTTAATAAGAGCTTAATAATTAATACACCCTGGCAGGCATGGTTGTTTTAAACAAGGCCAAATGCATAATTCATGAGCTGTTACTATATCTTCATTTCCAAATGTAAAACGCATTACAGGCTCTTCTGTTTGATATTTTCTTATTCTGGATCACTGATTTTTAGGCCATATAAAACTCTGGTTCTTTCAAGTTAGATAGAAAAAACAAAAGCTGAGAGTGGGGTTGAATCGAGTTTATGTTAGTCAGGAAGATTGCTATTTAAATACATTAAATTTAAATGAGAAACTATGATGCATTTTAGAGGATTTATTATTTAGGACAAGGAATTTTCAAGAGTCCACAGACCACAGGGGATCTGTGAAGGTTCTGTAGGGGATCCACCAATTATAGCTGGATCTGAAACTAATCTGTTTAAAAATTAAAATGTGCGTCAAACAAAGACACACGATTAAGTTAACAAAAAAAATCTTGAGCTAAGAACAGAGAGTCTCATGTAAATGTAAAATTTCAAACATATATAAAATGTATTCACAGTACTGGTTTGCAGGAAGGGCGTCCACTTTGTAAGACATACGCTGGATAAGTTGGCAGTTTATTCCACTGTGGCAACCCTGATGAATAAAGGGACTAAGCCAAAGGAAAATGAATGGCTCTACAGATCAACAATGATTAATAAGCGTGATAAATCATATTGTACATTAACGGTGCCTTCAAAGAGAAAATCTGGATTTACCAAGGGTATACCTCCACAGCTATTATCAGAAAGCAAAATGCTGGGTATACTGATGTTAAATTTATTCAGCGCCACCCAAAGAGACATAAGGTATGTTTAATTGTATCTTTTGTTAATTTATTTTGTTTATTATAAAATTTGCCAAAGACGTTTGTAATTTGAGTTAACAATCACATTGTGTTTAATGCGCAATAAAGCATCTCACTCTGCAAATACTGCAATTTCTCTAGAGTGAAAGAACAGCCATACTCTTTATTAAACATCATCTGTTTATAGCAGAGATTGATAATAAATCCTGGCTGTGTTTACATTTACATTATAGCTTCAAAATACAACACAAGACATCTTTGTCACTATCTTTTGTCAAGTTTATTTATAAATTAGCCAAAATTTTGTTTTATTTTACTCTTTCTGATAGGTTACGTTAGATCATTCACTCAATACTAAAATAAACCTCTCCACCACTAAAGGTAAAACGATTGAATGGGGTATATACTTTCTTTGTTATAATACAATTTAACAAATTAAGATGTTCATTTCAGAGTACATCATGCTGTGTGTCTGTGAGAGAGAGAGAAACACTGAGAGTCATGTCAGAGTGCAGCTCATTAATATTCATGCCATTCCAAATATGGTCAATAAGGACATTTTGATTCTATGGGTATTTTATGTATATGGTGTAAAGATACAAGATGTGCAGCACCTGAAACTAAGGATACTGGATGCCTGTGCTGGCATTTCTCCTGCGGTGTTGCTATCAGTGTGTAAAGAGAGGGAGAAGAGGGTTGCATTGACAATCAAACACAATGGGCAGCACATTCAACACATATAAGTAGTATGAAAGTAGTACAAGTAGTCAGAAACTTGTAAATAACTCATAAAAGAATAAAGTTATGTTAAAATCAAGCACCCCATTGTTTTTCTTGTGAAATTCACCAATAAGTTTGATGTGTCAAACTACCCTCCTTTTATTAAAAAAAAGAAAAAATTGGATCCAAGATGGCCGACTTCAAAATGGCCACCATGGTCACCACCAATCTTGAAAAGTTTGCCCCCTCACACATACTAATGTGTCACAAACAGGAAGTTAAAATCACCAACCATTCCCATTTTATTAAGGTGTATCCATATAAATGGCCCACTCTACATAACAAATGTGCATATAAAACCATTTCTGGAGAATTTAAACTTACCAAAGCCACATACCTACTATGTAAAAATCAGAGAACAGTTTAACTTATTGAATCAATGCAGTATATAGCACATTTAATATGATATCGTATGCATTCTACAACAGGCCAGGGCTGAATTAACAGCCAAACAGTGTCTATGCAAAGCACCATCCTATGTAAGTATATTAAGCATGAATTTTAATTTCTAAAATGTACAACCCACATATATCAACAGAAACGGCAGCTTTTGTTCAACCCTAATTATAGTCTTGAGTCTTTTGTTGCCAGTGTTTCAGAATTATGTGCCCGATCATTTTTCACCACCCACCATCAACGACTCTCTTTCAGAGCAGCTTCTTAAAATTTCAGGGGATTTGGAGGAGTTTTCATGAGAAAACTTTGAAGCAGTTTGATGTGACAGAAGTGATTCAGAAACCTATGAAGGCTCTGACAGGTATTTACCTGTCTGCAACATTACAAGACTCCAGTAATAATAACCTAAACATGACAAATTCTGTCATCATTTATAAAATGGTTTGCTTTCTGCCTGTTGCTTCAAGTTGTATGATGAAAGCCAGTGCAGTGTTTAGAGTTTTGATTTACTGTAATTAAATCTGTTCTCCAAACAAAATCAAACTGAATCGTATTTAATCTGTTCACCAACCAAAATGATTGTGTGAGATTTGAAATAGCAGCCATTGAGTCGTATTTTCAGTGTTTTCAATGAATAATGATTGGATTCTGACATACAGTAACCTGTGATGAGCAATTTTAACAAACAATTATCAAAGATGACCTGATTTTGATTTAAAATTGTGAATTTTGAAGAATGAGGGCAAGTTTGCATGTGTGCAATGATAAATAGATGATCATAAAAAAACTGTTTATTGTATAACTTTCATGTGCAAGCCATAGGTGTCGATTACAATACAAACTATAGTTTAATTTATGTAAGATACAAACACAATTTACAAGAAACTTTGTCTTTTAAAGTGCCTATAAGTTGGCTACATCTGTTTCAGACCACCAACAGAACATTTTCCAGCATCCCTGCTGGGCGTGATTATGCATTGGCATTTGATAATGGTGTGAACAATTATGGGTGTCAAATTTATATTAAATTATTATTATTATTTTAGACATGCACACCCTCCAACACATCTACTTTTTTATGTCCTTCAGCATAGGTCCAAGCAATAATTAGAGCGGTCAAACTCCCCCTGTAATTTGCACCCTGGTTTTGAGTCCCATTGACATTCATTACAAAGGCAGTAGACACATATGGCTCGTTTCCACTAAGTGGTACGGTACGGTACGGTTCGGTACACTTTTATGGCCGTTTCCACTGTCAAAAAGCATACCGAACCGAACCAAACCGTACCACGTTTTCGGCACCCTTTCGACAGGGTACCACACACGAGAAAGGGTACCAAAAGGCGGAGCTAGACGCACAACTGAACGCTATTGGTTTACAGAGATACGTCATTCGCTTACGCAACAAGCCAGAATGAAAACAATAGAGCCGCCATGTTTAAAATACACAGCCGAGAGATCTTTTACAGCGTAAATACATATACATATAATAAAAGCCATGGTTGACACGGGCTGAAACACTTCTTGTCGTCGTCTTGATGAACAGCCACAATGCCAAAGAAGAGCAGATTTATTATGAGCCAGTCTGCAGCGCGAACGATTTAGGTTTCTTGCCTGCGCTCGCTGCACGTCTGTATCTGAAATAACAAACTTCTTGAGCTGATGATGATAACGTGCGCTTGATAGTCTTGATAGGAGAAGCCGGAAAAAAGGAATACATTCTTTTTTTAGCAAACGTAAACAAACTGCTATGTTTAACTATTATTATCATCACCTTTTGGACTAATATGAACTTAGAATGACGGAATGACTCTCTAACAGAGGCTACATGTGCTGCTGAAGATTACAGACACAGATAAGAGGTTTTCACTGACTGTAGGCTATATTTTGTGTTGTTTTTGTAACTAAATAAGCACTAAATATATGCTATGTGTAGTTCTTCTGTAGTTGGTAACATATCGGAGACTGTAAGGGTCTGTATGTGCTCATATATGTTGCATTTATTTATTTAATATAATTACAGATGTTACAGTAGGCTATTTCGCATTGTCATTGATCTGCAGTTATAATCAAATCATGTTCATAGAAAAGTTAAAGATGAACATTTATACAGAAGTATTTATGCGTATAAAGCATTTGTTTTGTGAGAAGTGCTTCTCAAATGATACGTAAACGACCTGTACGGCTTTACTGTAGACATTTTCTCGAGCGAAAATTACGTCGACTGAAACTTTCTGTCATACACCACGCCCATCAAAAGGGTACCCTTGGTAATGGAAATGCAAGCCTGATAAAGGTGACCCGTACCAACCCGAACCATACCGTACTGTACCAGTCAGTGGAAACGAGTCAATAGACAATTTCTTTATAATATCTTTTAAAAATGCTAATAAACAACAGTATGTTCAGTTTTGAATGAGCTGTCTCTTTAAAACAGAAATGTCTATAGACAAATTCTTTGAGGATAATTTGCAGTAGGAGAGAAATGGGAAAATAATAGTCAAAATAAAATGATCATGCAGTGAAAGCGCTCAAACAAAGCTTATTATTAAATCAATGGAGTTAGACTTCTTACAAGTGCAGTCATTTAACCACCACCCATTACTGTTATAATACACTATTTATGCTTCCTTTCTGATAGAGACAACTGTCATGCCTGTCTTAACTCACCTCCTCAAACAGCTCCAAGCTGTACGTATTATCATCATCTGCGAAGTAAACGATTCCCGCCTGGCTGCTGTTGGAACTGAAGGTCTCCCTTAGCCATCTCAGAGCCAGATTCCTCTGCATGGTGCCACGTGGAATCCTGGGATCTCTCGTGTCCCCTCGCAGCTTGTAGTTCCGTGGGGTCTCCACATTGAGGTGTGTGTAGTTCAGCCCGGTTTCCCTCAGAAGCCTCGTGACCAGAGGGGTTCTCCTCTGAGAGTCCTCCACCAGGATCCAGTGCAGGTTGGGCACATGAAGGAATGTGTTGGCCAATCGCGTTAACTCTGCTTTCTGCACAGGACGGCTGTATGTCGGGGTGATGACATGAATGGTGGGTAAAACGTCAGACCAGGGTGGAGGTCTTGTATACACATATTCTGTACGAACCACCTCTACTATGTCCTTGTCCTGTGAGCAGTATTCTTTTGAGTCTGTTGCCGGCCCATTCTCGTGTCTAGTCTCCGTCGCGTCATCTAGCCAGACAGAGAAAGAGAATTAAGACATTAGCACACCCCAGGGCTGCTCTTTTTATTTCTGACGCATGCCACAAACCTTAGAGGAGTACCTGCTAGCCGTTGCCGGTGGATGGTTAGTCGCTCTGGTATGATTAAGATCTCTTTTACTAGATGGTGACAGACTGGAGAGGGTGAGAGCAGGAACCGTGAGATCATAATACCATTACTCCATAAGGGTTGATGGCACTGATTCAAACCCATAAAGCACTGGTTCTGCATGATCTGCTTTTGAATTCTTAATGGGATTGTTCAGACAAAAATGCTAATTTTCATGCCTTTCAAAGCCTGTTTGACTTTCTTTCTTTCTTGAAGTACAAAAGGAGAATTTTTAGAGGAATATCCTGATGTATTTTTTAAAAAGTATCAAAATGCATCTAACGTATAACTGCAGCATCTAAGAAAAGGCAATCTAACTTTATAATGATAATAATAGCACCAGTAATGACCCTATGACATTATATTCATGAAAATAGCATTCTGAATCTAAGCTTTCACATTTTTTTCAGATGGCAAATCATCAATGTTTTTTTATTGTTGTCAATTTCAGAGTTAAGTTGGGTGGATGATGATTTGGGTTTCCTACAAAAGCAATTTTGGACTTTCAAAAAGATAGAATTGGCGTAAATACTTATAACACTTAATCATGACTCTATCTCCATTTTGCTATGTTAGTCTACTTGAAGGAGTAAAGAGAAATGTGTGAGTGAATTTTAACACTTACAGTAGGTGCACCAGTAATGGGCAGTATTTATTTTACATGCATTTTAAATACAAAATAGTATATTGCAATTTGTATATGATAGGATTAATGGAAATGGCTTAAAATTTTGTATCAAAATACTTTAGTGTCTTGTATTTTTAAAATACTCTCTAAGAAGTCTACATGGTGGCATCATATAAATGCACCCTCTAACTGGTGCTTTGGACACTACTAACTCTTCCATTTAATGAATAAATGAAAAAAAATATATAGAAAAAAAATTGCAGAAATAGTATACTGTAAAAATAATAGTAGTTTTGGATGGATTTTTGATTTTTTCATACTTCTTTGCCTGTTTTAAATGCCAATATTTGAACAGCAAGTATAGTTGCACTGTATAGCAAATGAAGAGGGAAGATGTATGCCTAAAGATGTCAAAGTGACACGACATTTAAAACACATATTTAATAATCTAAAAACTAACAGGTTTTACAGCAGGAACAGGATATACAGTAGTATATGAGGAGTTTATATGCAAAAATAGATTACATTTTTGAAGTTTTTAGAAATCATGTTTTTACAATGAGCATTGAAGAGTCAGTTTAACAGTTAGGGACTGATATCATTCTTTTTATTTTTTAGTATTTTTAAAACACAAAAATACTGCTGTATTTTGTAGTTTAATGCTGTATTTTGACGTTTATTTTGATACACAAACTTAAGGTATTAGGTATTTTATTTTAAAATAAATTTTTATGTATTTTTGCCCAACCCTGAGGTGCACACACTGTACACACAGTGGACCAGTGGTTTACGAATTGATGGATAAATGATTCAACTGCAGACGTCATCTTCTTACATGATGTCCGAATACATTCAAAACCCATTATGTGTATTGTCTAGCTATGGAGTGTATTTTAATTGTAAATTATTGTGGTGCATTCTGGGGAAAAAATGCCTGACTCCACTATGCTTTCAGACAACAATACAAGTAGCTGTTCCTCAAACAGCACCAGAAGTGTTGTCCAAACCTTTTCATTAAGAGATTTTACCTCCAATCAGCCCCAAAACACTTGCCTGAGCATGAGCAATTCTGGTTTCCCCCTCAGTCTAAAGACATGCAGTACAGGTGAATTGAATACGCTAAATTGGCCGTACTGTGTAAGTGTGAACGAGTGTGTATGGATGTTTTCCAGTACATGGTTGCAGCTGGAAGGGCATCCGCTGTGTTAAACATATGCTGGATAAGTTGGCCTGTTAAATAAAGAGATTAAGGAATAAGGAATGAGATTAAAATTACCCCTATACCCTTAGTGCACTATTTCAGGCAGTGTAATGGTGACTTAATAGAAGTTCTAAAGTGCACTCAATCAATCTATCAATGCATTGTGATAATGAATGCACAACCACTACAAGATGGCATCAACAACGGAATCCTTCTAAATAAATTATAATAAAATTTTTAAATTAACATTTGAATAAACGTGACAGAAATAGATTACTTTGTTTCATCTCTAAAAGACAGATCACTAAGTTTAAAATAACTATCACATCTCTGAGTCTGACCAAGAAGTTGAAAGTGTAATCTGTCTGAGGGATTTAACAAGCTAGCAAAGCACAAACAAAACAGCATCCCTTCCAGTGCACTCAAATTCACTCACTCGTTTTCATTCCCTACTTTAAGTGGATTGACTATATTAGTGGACTATAGGGAATAGTGAATGAGGGTATAAGGCTGATTTCAGATATAGCGCTAAATTAGCTGCTTCAGGTGTGTTTTAATTGCAGTTGGAGCTAAATTCTGCCCTTCAGGAATAGGTATGGACACGTCGGTTAAACAATATAGAGTGCATTTTAAGCAAGCCGAGCTTAACTCAACCCTAATAGTGCACCCAAACTAGCTAAGGCTTTTGAGATGGGTACAAATATGCAAGATGTATTGACAAATATTAGTGGCATTAAGGCCATGGATATTTTTTTTGTAAACCCTAGAGATAGTTGTGCGTGAAAATCATAGTAGATCAGCAGTTTCTGAAATACAGACCAGCCCATCTGACACCAACAACCATGCCACTTTCACAGTCACTTAAATCGCCTTTCCTCCCCATTCTGATGCTCGATTTGAACTGCAGCAGATCGTCTTGACCATGTCTGCGTGCCTAAATGCATTGAGTTGCTGCCATGTGATTGGCTTATTAGAAATGCGTGTTAACAAGCAGTTGGACAGCTGTACCTAATAAAGTGGCCAGTGAGTGTATAAAGTATTACAATGCAATTGCTCCATCCATTGTGCCTGACATGTCTTCTCATAGACTTTGAATTTTGAAAGTCTGGGCTTAAAAAAGTTTTCAAGTTTACAAATTTCACACTCATAATTATACTTTGTGGTGGTCTTTATGTGCGTTCATCTCACTAATACAATCTCTATAATACAATCCATCAGGAATATTGCCCTAAATCAACTAAAACATACTGCTAATATGAAAGCCTAATAGTCTAAAATATTATTAATTTACTCTGTTATGTTAATGTGACATAGGCTAACATGGAGAAACAAGTAGAACAATGGAGGAGCAAAGCATTCTGAACGAATTCTGTTTATTATATTCAGTTTGTTCTTTAACACAGCAAATAATTTAGCTCCAAGGTGCTCTGGAGGTTTCTAGTAATCCTCTTAAAGACTATGCATTGCTGGTTCAGATGCTTAATTGGGGCTGGAGCTGGATTCCCATACCCTTTACATCAATCTATTGACAGCAAAGATCTCTAGGTGAAAGCAACAGTCAAGTCACATTAAAGATTTTGTTATATGATACCTAAGGAGTAAGATCCGATTGCAAATATGGTAGTTTTGTAGTCTTTTTCTTGTTTTAGTAGATCATATCACTTGTGTAAAAGACATTTAGAGCTATTTAGGACCCAGTGGACAGTATATACTTCAGTATTTCTCTCACTTTTTCCCTCCAAGAAAGAAAGAATAGATTTTAATTTTGTTAAACCACTACATGACGAGCATGTGGGAATGATATTGCTGAATTAATTACAGTGTAACCAAATTTCTTCTTGCTTTTAAAAATATTTCCACAAAATGGTGTGGGCAGTTCTAACACAATCTTGCTGATAGCTCATTAAGCGTAGGAATGATGGTGGCACCTTTCATATCAGATCTTTATCACTGTTCAATTAGTGCCCTGCTCTCACTTCAGACATTTTAGCAGCAGTAGATTAGCGAACTCCATTAACAGTCCAGATGTTCAATGCCTCCTAGGCATCATACATACCCATGTTAATTGCTTCATGATAAGCTCTATGAATACACATCTTTACATCTCCATAAGCCTGATGATATCGGCATGCGTATATAGATTTTCAAATGCCAGGACTCTTATCTTTCTGTAGGTTACCAACTAAGGGTGGTTAGCGATTGATGGAGGCCATTAGATTGTCCTGAATGCCCCATAAATAATAGACTACGTGTATAGCTTATGTATGTGAATTATGCTCTTACATACGTGTTTTAATATGAGTGCTAAAATAAACTAGACATACAAATGGCTCATTTTGACTTAGAGCCAGCCAAAGAAAAATGCCCATCAGATAGTGTTTTTTTTTTTGGAGAAATTGTTTGAATTTGGATAAAAGGGAAAATTTCACTGGAGTCAGGGGACTTTTAAATGAAGCCTCTACTTTTTTTTGAAAATAGGCTCATTTTACAACTCCCCTAGAATTTATCAGTAAGTTTTACCCATTTTTAAATCAATTCGCCCAATGTCCTGGCCTGGCGGGTGCTTTCATCTTAGCTTAGCACAGATCATTAAATCAGATTAGATTATTAACATCTCGCTCAAATATAACCAAAGAGTTTCGATAATTTTCTGACTGACTTTTTCTGTTGAAACATTGTGTATTAAAACAGACAGAAAAAAAAATGTGTTTTATAGGCTGAAATAACCAGGAACTATAGATTATTCACTCACCGGTCACTTTATTAGGTACACCTTGCAAGTACCGGGTTGAACCCCCTTTTGCCTTAAAAACTGCCCTAATCCGTTGTGGCATAGATTCAACAAGGTACTGGAAATATTCCCCACAGATTTTGATCCATATTGACATGATAGCATCACACAGTTGCTGCAGATTTGTCGGCTGCACATCCATAATGCAAATCTCTCATTCCACCACATCCTAAAGTGCTCTATTGGACTGAGATCTGGTGACTGTGGAGGCCATTTGAGTACAGTGAACTCATTGTCATGTTCAAGAAACCAGTCTGAGATGATTCATGCTTTATGACATGGCTTGTTATCCTACTCGAAGTAGCCATCAGAGGATGGGTACACTGTGGTCATAAAGGGCTGGACATGGTCAGCAACAATACAGAGGAAGGCCGTGGCATTGACATAGTGCTCAATTGGTACTAATGGGCAAAAAGTGTGCCAAGAAAATATGCCTCACACAATTACACCACCACCACCAGCCTGAACCATTGATGCCAGGCAGGATGAAACCATGCTTTCATGTTGTTGATGATAAAATTCTGACCCTACCATCTGAATGTCGCAGCAGAAATCGAAACTCATCAGACCAGACAATTTTTTTCCAATCTTCAATTGTCCAAATTTGGTGAGCCTGTGTGAGTTGTAGCCTCAGGCCCCGTTTACACTAGTGCGTTTTATTTTTAAAACGGCGTTTTAGAATGAAAACGATCCGTGTCCACACTCGCGTTTTACCCAGCGTTTCTGAACAGCTCTCCGTCCACACCAAAACGCTGAAAACGCACATCAGGTGACCACACAGACACTCTCGGGCAAGAGCTGGAGCCCATCTACCCAGATGAGAGCTGTGCTAGTCGGACTTCTCATCCAGCATCTCCCGCTGGATCTAATCTCACTATATTTATTAAACGGGATATTTCATTCATCTTGTTGTCTTTATCTAACGACATATTCCCTGACTTTGGTCATTGGAATCTATTACTTTTTCTCAGGTAACGTGTTTTGGATAAGCGCAAAGATAAGTTAATGAGTAACCGTAGCCTATTCTGTATATTGACTGATCGCTTGCCTTTATTTCCTATAAATGTATAAACTAATTGTATGTTATACTTTTGTAATGGCCATTATCGATTATTAAAACTGATATTCAGCAAAAGAGAGGGTGTATTTCGTCTTTTCACTGAAATTGAAAGGAGGCAGTTGTTATCGGCTTCGTTTTGTTATAAATATTCACACAGTGAAGATGACGCTCATGCAGCACGACGCCTCAACATTTCTGCTTTCTAAGTTGCTAATATTAAAATGAAAATAGGCAGTTCCTTAAATCATGTTTACATTTTATTGTTGAGAAAGTGAAACAACGTAGCAAGGGTGATGTAAATGAAGTTATAAAGTACACTGTTCCCTTTAAAGATTTACCCGTGTCCTCGGTATAGTCTGCTTTCCATATCAAACTGAGAAGAAGAGACTGCAGCCTTAATCAAACTTGCGAAGTCTGAACTTACACGGAGAGAATGCAGGACTGAACTGTGTGTGTTAGGCTACTTAATATTCAGGAAAAGCCCCAATCAGAGAGGCGAATGTCTGCAGTCCCGCCTCCGTTTTCAGATGTCTCCGTTTTCCATCATCCACACTGAGACGGAGCAGCAGCGTTTCAGAATAAAAACGGCCTCTCCAGCTTTTTCGAAACGCTCCGTTTTCGGCGCTCGAGAACTCCGGCGTAGTGTGGACGGTTGGCGTAACCGTAGCAAAACTTATGCGTTTTCAAACTAAAACGCATTAGTGTAAACGGGGCCTCAGTTTCATTTTCTTAGCTGACTGGAGAGACACCCAGTGTGGTCTTCTGCTGCTGTAGCCCATCCGCCTCAAGGTTTGATGTATTGTGCATTCAGAGATGCTCTTCATACCTCAGTTGTAACAAGTGGATATTTGAGTTACTGTTGCCTTTCTATCAGCTCAAACCAGTCTGGCCATTCTCCTTTTACCTCTGGCATCAGCAAGGCATTTGCGCCCACAGAATTGCCACTCACTGAATATTATCTCGTTTTCAGGCCAGTCTCTGTAAACCCTAAAGATGGTTGTGCGTGAAAATCCCAGTACATCAGCAGTTTCTGAAATAGCCCGTCTGGCACCAACAACCATGCTACATTTAAAGTCACTTAAATCAACTTTCTTCCCCATTCTGATGTTCCTTTTGAACTGCAGCAGATCATTTTGACTATGCCTAAATACAACGAGTTGCTGCCATGTGATTAGCTGACTAGAAAATTGCATTAACAAGCAGTTAGACAGGTGTGCCTAATAAAGTGGCCGGTGAGTGTATAAATGAGATGCTACAGTAATGGTTAGATCCATTTAATGATCTATGCTATGCTAAGCTAAAAGTCCTCCCACCAAAGCCGCAGATTGACTTAATCGATTAAAAAATGGTAAAGATTAACTGTTTAACTCTAGGGAAGTTGTAAAATATGAAGTGGAGCGTTCCTTTAAAATGAGACCAAACTCAGGGGATGTGTTAGAAAGAAGGATTTGTTTTTATCTATGTTCATAGTGTTGTTGGGAGCACTTGAAAGCACACAAGTGGCAGGAAAATAAATCTTGTTTAGCACTGCCTCTTTAACACGCTTTTAAAGATAACTTTGTAGCGAGAATAGCAATATGCAAATTTCTTTGCTAACCTGACCATATTTAAATGAGCACAGGCGATGAATAGACTCGCTACAGTCTATTAGTCTGTGAGAGTGCCTATTAAGCTTTGTGCAGAAAATTGTCACATTTTGATTGATGATAAAATTGGAACTGGCAACACCTCATATCAATGTATTTAAGAGAGGCCGTTACCCTTTCGGATGGCAAGCAGGGGAGCAATTGCACTTTGGTGCCACACAGTGATGAGGAGGGTCCATGGTAACACAATCAACACGATGGCAAGAATATCTCTTCTCTTCGGCATCTCCAGGGTTGGTTCTATGCCTGGTCATTACCTGAGAGAGGGAAATGAAGAAAGTCAGACACTAAAAGAGACAGAGTATGCAAAAGACAGAATATATGGGATCTTCATAAGTGTCAGGGAATTAATGTACTGTCTGATCAAATTGACTATCACCACTGAAATAAGATCTTCATGTGGCCAAGTAAAATGATAATCCACTGTGCTGCCTATCCTCAAGATATGTGTCGAACAGAAGCATCACAGATATTTCATTTAAATCCTTGACATTCTAATTATTAACAAAAAGATTCTGGGCTCCACACAATTCCTTCATGTTGTCCCAACACAAATTGATTAAGTTAACTTAAACGCTTTTACAAATTTATGGATTAAATATATAACAATTAATTGTCCCCCTAAAAAAACATAAGAATTGTGTTGTTTCAGCTCGTTTTTAATGAGTAGTTTGAACAAGCAGCAAAATACTTTTTTTTAGAGTCTATCACAATTGACAGTGATACAATGCACTGGTTTGACAAATACCGGTACACAAAAAAAAGTGTTGCATGCAGAAGTGTTGCAATCAATTTATTTGTGTTGAATTTAAACAAACAAATTAAATTGAATAATGTTCAACTTAATTTGTTTGTTTAAATTTAACACAAATAAATTGTTTACAAACACTTAATGTAAAAAAATTAGTAAATCCAAGGAATCATCTTTGAATAATTTTTTTCAGTGTATATACAGCCTGATCTCACGAGAAAACGTAAATCTATTACGTCTTGCCAGTTTATTGGCTAATTCGTATGAATTCGTAAGAGTTTAGTCGTACAAAATTGTACAATTTATAAAGGAGGTGTGGCACCTAACCCCACCCCTAAACCCAACCGTCATTGGGGAATGAGCAAGTCATATTAAATTGTACGAATCAGATAGAACGAATTCATACGAATTAGCCACTAAATCAAAAAGTTACGAATTGCCGTGAGATTGTGTTGGTATAGGGTTGCACCAACTGCTTGTAAGTTCTTTCTTAAACTGGAATGTAAAGTACTTAGTAACTACTAGCTAGTTTATAACTTCATTTGTTTTCACTTCTGTTGCACCACATGCTCTTAGGGCAAACCGTCGGTCGTAAGCTCTCTGTTAAGTCTTTGTCGCATTGAAGGACAAAATATCTAATAAAAAGCTTTTAAATCATTAAACTGCTTCAAAATTCTGCAACTAATGCATCTATATATAAAACATATATACAGTTGAAACCAGAAGTTTACATACACTCTAAAAAAAAGAACAACAATTTGTAAAAAAAAATGTCTGATGGTAAATCATACTAAATGTTTACTATTTTAGGTCCGTTAGGATTACCTAAATGATTTACATTTGCTAAACGCCAGAATAATGAGAAAATATATTTTTTTGAGAATGTTTTATTAATTTCTAAACAGTCAAAAGTTTACATTCATTTCCTTAGTATTTTTTTTAGCTTTGCTTTTAAACTGTATAACCTTGGTCAAATGTTTTGGGCATCCTTCCGCAAACTTCTCACAATAGTTTGAATGAATTTTAGCCTATTTCACCTGACAGAATATGTGTAACTGAGTCAGATTTGTTGGCTGTCTTGCTCACACAAGTTTTTTTTTTAACTCTGGCCACTATAGGATTTTGCTCAGGGCTTTGTGATGGCCACTCCAAAACATTCACTCTGTTGTCCTTAAAGCACATTTTAACTTATTTGGCGGTATGCTTAGGGTCATGGTCTGTTTGGAAGACCCACTTGTGGCCAAGTCTTGAGATGTTGCTTCAGTATTTCTACATAATATTCTTGCTACATGATGCCATCTATGGTGTGAAGTGGACCAGTCCCTCCTGCAGCAAAACAGCCCCACAAAATGATGCAGCCGCCCCCATACTTCTGAGTTGGGATGGTGTTTCTAGACTTGGAAGCTTTGCTCATGTTGTCACACAAGCAGTGTTCAAGGTTTTCCTTAAATAATATTGTACAGTTGTGCCTCCAATTAACACAAAAGTTGTAAATTAGCCATCAGCCAATCAGAAACTTCCAAAACCTTGACACAATCTTCTGAGCTTTTTTTTTCATTTAAACTAAGTTCAGTGGTGCGTAAATTGTAACTTAGTGTCTCGTTAAGACAACTAGGCTACGTTTTAACTTACACACTGCTGGTGCAACTGGCTACTGTAGCACAAATGCTTGGTTGACAAAAATAAATTTGAATAAGATTTCAGCTTTTTTTTGGCTTCTTTGGCTGATTTCAGAGCTCAGAGTGACTTAACACCTTTGTATATTTCTGACTGTGATTGTAAGGAGGAATAAATATAATTTCTAATAATTTTACAGATGGAGTCAGTTATTCAGCAACAATATAAAAACATTGTTCGGATGTTGTATTTCAAGACATTTGTCAGGTCTATCTTCTCTTCTCCTGTGTGTGGGATTAGTTTCATCCAAAGCTTTTGTTTTGACATGATTTTTGACTGTTGTAGGCTGTAAAATAAACTGGAATCATTTGTGATATGGAAACAAGCACATCTGTAATCGAATACCTTTCCTGGAAATAAATTGTACACTTTAATGTTTATCAGCCAAGAGTCAAGTACAGCAGTATATACTGTATATCTTTTGACCTAAAATTGATCAAAACTGTGATTGTTTACTTATAGATAATATAAAGGCTATTCAACCAAACTAAATGAATAATGTTTAAATATAGGGGTTCATTCTTCGTATCTCACTTAAAAGGTCTGAGAACATCACAGATCTCAGATCTTATAATGGCGATAATCGATTCTTCAAACAAGTTTGTGATTCAATTATCAGAGAAGTGAGCAAAAATATAGTTAAAGTTAAGTAGATAAAAAAGCTTGTTAAAACATAAGTCATAACTGTTCCCTGTAGCACTTGAACTGGCTTTTATGTGTCAAGAGTATTTTATTTTACGATTACTTTAATTTTAGCTTTGGAGCAGATTTGCTATATGTGACTGCGTTAAAATTTCCTAATCCTCTGTTGTAAGGCGTAGATGACTGTCTTGATTGACTGCCTGATTAATGCATGAAATAAAGCATTTTGAGATTTGAGAAGTGGGCTGCACCACCAGCAAAGTTGTCAGTGTTCTAATTTACATGTGTGCATGACAGTAAAATTACAGTATGCCGTATTACTTCAAAAATGTTTCTCTCCATGAGTAATAATGGCCATGTCTATTATCATGCACTCTCAGATATTGTGGTACAAAAGCTGTACATTTTCAAAAGGTATGTATTTGTAACTAACATATTTATATTGGTACCCTAAAAGTATATGTAACTGAAGTACACATATTAGTCCCTATAAGTACAAACATCTACCCTTTCACTTTTAAAAAGGTAGTTTTTGTACCTTTATTTCAGAGCGCAGACTGCATACGTTATAAATAAAAAACAAACAAACATTAAAACATATTTTATAAATGATAATTATTATTATAAATACATTATTGTTGTGTTATTAGGGACCGAGCACCGAACGGTGCAAGGCCCTATTGGAATTGCTCCGTTTATTAGGGACCGAGCACCGAACGGTGCAAGGCCCTATTGGAATTGCTCCGTTTATTAGGGACCGAGCACCGAACGGTGCAAGGCCCTATTGGAATTGCTCCGTTTATTATTATTATTATTATTATTATTATTATTATTATTCTTTTCCGGAATGAATCGCGATTTTGAGGGGCTAAACATGCCCGAAAACTCACGGAACTTTGCACACGCCTCAGAAGTGGCGAAAATTTACGTTTATTATGGGTCTCGGAAGTGGGCGTGGCAAAATGACTCGACAGCGCCACCTAGAAAAATTAAACGGACGAGCCCCCGATCTACGAATCACGCACATGCACGAAAATTGGCACACACCTCAAACACACCAAAACATACGAAAAAGTCTCTTGGAGCCATATCTCAAACCCAACAGGAAGTCGGATATTTTTGACTTCCCGCGGCGAAAAAGTGGCGTTTTTTCCATTTCCAGGCGTTGTATTTTAACGAACTCCTCCTAGGGATTTTATCCGATCGACACCAAAATTGGGTTTTGTCATCTTAAAGCCTTGGCGATGTTAAATTGCGAAGCTTTAGAGTTTTCGTCGATGGGCGTGTCGGTGGCGGCCTCGCAAAGTTTGACGATTCGCCACAAAACAGGAAGTCGTTATAACTCAGACATGCATTATCCGATCTGCCTCAAAAATCACACGCTTGATAACAGTCCTGACCTGAACACGTTTACATGCCAATATCCAGATACAGTTACAGCGCCACCTGCTGGCCACAGGAAATGACATGTTTTACAAAGTAACAAACTCCTCCCACAAATTTTATCGTATCAGCACCAAAATTGGGTAGTGTTATCTAAAAGCTCTAGTGATGATATATTGTGAAGATCTAGAGTTTTCGGAGAGGGGCGTGTCCATGGCGGCATGACAAACCTCAATGCTTCGCCATTGACCTGGAAGGCTTCATAACTCAACCCCACAATGTCTGATCAGCCTGAAACTTCACATGGTTGGTAAAAGTCTTCTCCTGAACACATCCACATAACAATATTGAAGTGGGCGTGGCAAATCAACTCGACAGCGCCACCTAAAAAAATTAATTGCATGAGCCCCTGATATACGAATCATGCACATGCACGAAAATTGGCACACACCTCAAACATGCCAAAACATACGAAAAAGTCTCTTGGTGCCATATCTCAAACTCAACAGGAAGTCGGATATTTTTAACTTCCTGCTGAAAAAAAGTGGCGTTTTTGCCATTTCCAGACGTTGTATTTTAACGAACTTCTCCTAGGGATTTTATCCGATCAACACCAAAATTTGGTTTTGTCATCTAAAGGCCTTGGCGATGTTAAATTGCGAAGCTTTAGAGTTTTCGCAGAGGGGTGTGTCAGTGGTGGCATGACAAACCTCAACGCTTCGCCATTGACCAGGAAGTCCTTATAACTCAACCACACAATGTCCGATCTGCCTGAAACTTCACATGGTTGATAAAAGTCCTCTT